TGGAGGGCAGGTCGTGGGGTGCGGGGGGGCCAGGCGGAAGGCAACAAGTGCAGAGAGGGCAATGGCCTGCTCTGCTCCTTTTCCCTTCCCCCCCCTTTCCCCCCCTGCCCCCTTCCATCCACTCTGTTCCTCTGCTGCTCTGTCCCTCTGTTCCTCTGTCCCTCTGCTGCTCCGCACCGTGCTGCTGAATGGCCACATTGGTCAGGTGCATGAAGTCGTTCCGCAGCTCCGCCACCTCGCCGCTGTACTTGACATTGCAGAACCGACCGAACCCAAGTCGGGACACGTACACCTGGGAGGGTGGGAGGGAGGGTGGCTATGTATACCATGCAAGGAAACATGCAAGGAAGGAACTGGATGCGTCCAAGGCGTTCGAAACTGCCTAGCGACTCCGAAGCGGGGAAGAGGGGAAGGAATGGGCGGATGTATCGTTTCTTCAGCCGCGAGGGACCGTTCGGGTTCGGAAATGGTGCATCATTGAGGAGAAGGGGAAAGGTCGGGGGCTGGAGAAAAAGACGAACCACATAGGAGTGAAGCTGGTAGACCAGAGATAGACGGACGGGGATACTACGCAGGATTAGACGGATAGGTATTGCCGGAAAGGGCCCGGGTGGGGCAACACGGTACGATGTGCTTTCTTTTTCTTTTTCGGCCCTGGAGGGCCGAGGGCCGAGGGCTGTTAGGGCTGTGGCTCACCCCCCGCAAGGCCGACCGGCGTGCGGTACAACAGATGTTCAACTCCCGGGAATGGGAATAATGGGAAGGCGCCTGTATGTGTGCCTGTATCTGTGTGCGAGCACTGCGGAGGCAGTCAAGGAAGTGCCTGAAGTCGTGAATGGCGACAGACGGACGGATGGACAGACAGACGGGTTGGGCATGCAGCCGTCCCTCTCCTCCACCCCTCTTCAGTCCGGAATGGCGCTAGGCAGCACGGCGTAGTACACAGCACAGCACAGCCTCCCCCTCTCCCCCCCTTCGCATCTGTTTGCCATTCCTCCCCTTTACCCTCCCTCTACCCTCCCTCCCTCTACCCCCCTCCCTCTAACCCCTCCCCCTCCCTCTACCCTCCCTCCTGCCCCCCCCCTTGCTACCTTGAGTGGCTTGAAGCTGGTCACCACCACGTACATGCGCATGTCGAACTTCTTACCGCCGATCTGCATGGAACCAACATCAGCACCATCACCGCGACACCACCATCCCCTGGTATCCAGGAACACCAGCAGCAGCCACCGACAACACTCTTACCGCCACCGCCACCGCCACAAACCCCAACACCAGCCCTCTGACAACATATGTCGACCCAGACCCAGACCAGTCGACTGTGTTAATCTCGCCCTCCGCCCTCCACCCCACTGCTTTCGCCCGATCCCTATTGTTGTTTACATACGGTCTGGTCTGGATTGACACTACTGCAATTAGCAGTTTAAGGTCCTGGGTTCGATTCCTGGGGAGACCCCCGAATTAGTCGGGAGCGCGAAATCATGGCTAGCTGCTGAGATGTGGAGTTGAGGTCACAGTTGATGGACCAGATTCGCACGCTGGATTGGTGGCGATTGCCGAACCCTCCGTCTCATCGGGTGTTCGGGTGAATGGATGAGGAGGGGTCCCTGAAGGCTGGATCCGCCGCCTTGGACTTACAGTTCGTATGGCGAAGTACAGTGTGGTAGTGGTGGATGGTGCTATAAGGTGATAAATGATCTAGAACTGACAATGTGATAAAGCGGCCCAGAAGCCTCCCACTCTGTAACATTACATTACATTACATTACATACGTGTATGATTTCCATCCCCATCCCCATCCCCATTCCCATTCCCACCCAGCCACCCAAGATCGACCTCACCAGCAGCGGATTATCTATGTACCTGGACACCACATAGTTGTCCGCACCGCTGCGCAGGGCGGGGGGGAGGCTGCCCACACTCCACTGCTTAATCTGCTCGTGGGTGAGGTAGGGTGGGGTAGGGTGAGGTAGGGTTGGGTAATCACATGCACATGGGGTTAGGTTGGGGGGCAAGGGGGAAGACAGGGCGGGAGGAGGCATCGGGGCGGCTGTACGACACACTACCCTTGTGGTGCTTCCTCCGTATGCCTCTGGCTTGAGCAAACCCTGGAGCAGACCACTTTGCTGCTTAGTAGGGTCGTATTGGTGATTGGATCTGTCTAACCGCGTCTAGTGAAGTTTGTACACCCACCCAGCCTTCCACACACCCACATCGACCCCGGGATATGCCTCACACTGTCTGTATAGCTTAGATGCGGCAGGAGCAAAGCGAGTATAGCCTCTAAGCTAGGTTATGTACGGCAGCCGTATGGCTTGCTGAGATTTCGAATTTACTATTTCAGCTGACAGCTCCATAGTAGTTCCGGCATTCTGCCTACACTATTGGAGCTGATTATTGTTGCTCTCACTTCCCCCCTCCCGCCCGCCCTCAGTGTCCCTCGTTTATAAGCGGCAGGCTCGGCCCAGTTGGAGACCTGGTGGTGATTAGGCAGTCCCCTCGGAGCGCCAGACGCACAGCTGTACAGCGATTACCGCACGACAAATAAGTGTCCTTAGAGTATCGTTGCGCGCTAGGAATGTCGCCTAGCCAGCCCTGCTGGCCAGGGTGCGGTTCGTGCGTCGCTGACGCTTCAGGTTTGCCCTCGGGGCGGGTGACCAGTGGACGCAGTCAGTCATGAATGGTGCGTTTAGTTGTCTAGTGCTGTGCGTCAGTTCTTTCGGCCGTGCCGGTGTGGCCGCGCTGGGGACAGCGCTGCATGCGCTCAGACCGCGCCGTGTGGCGCTAGACCGCGCTTCGGCGCACACACGCGCCCTGGCGCTCCGAGAGCAGCAATTAGTACTCTGCAGTAGTGTAAGGCCCCAGCTTGGCAGCCCCGGTTTCGCCTCGTCCTGTCCTATCCGGCACCCCGAACGCAACCGTACAGCAAGCCATGAAGGCTATAGGACATAACTAATCCTCACCTCACACCAGTTCAGACCAGCATAAATATCCCTCAGCCCCTTTGTTTCCTTCACTCCACACCATAAGCACGCCCCAATACATACATTCCTCCCGCCCATTCCTTGCTTGCGCTAAATTGCAATGCCGGTACCACCGCTATGCAGCCGGTACCACTGCCCCCCCTGTGCCCATCATCTTACCTCCGCTGCACCTCCCTGAGCTTCTCTTGTAGCTTCCCTCCCTGCCCCTCCCTTCCCTCCTTCCCTGCCCTTCACTCCTCCCTCCCTCCTTCCCTGCCCCTCCCTCCATAGGTACGACAATGGATTAGCCACAATGGTCACGCACATTGCCGCTGCGACCATGCGTACACCCCAACGTTCGCACCTCCCCTCCCCTCC